TCTCCGATTACGCCTCGATGGGACCGGCTTGTTGTTTTATTTTTATGCTGTTTGTATTTGATTTTATGCCAGTCGTATCATTTTACTTGATCGTATTATCCCCCCCCTGGCCGGTCCGTGAAAATATTGTCTGACATATAGCGGTCCGTGGTGCAAAAAAGGTTGGGGACTGCTGTTCTAAATAATAAATTGGCGAAAGACAATTGGATTTTACTAGCCAGTCTAGAAGTCCAACTTTGGATGAAATACTAAAGAGTCTTGGTGATAAGGCAGATATCAATTATAATGATTTAACTAATAATTATTAATTGGTTTTACTCTTCATTTGAATGAGCTATTTATTAATTATAACTCCCAGTTCTAGTTAAATCTTTTGGTAAATTGCATAACATAAATAATTGCAGAACAAGCTGTAGCTTTAATTAACCCTAACTGAGTGAGCCATGTGGCCTGCCTCTGAGCAACCTGAATAATCAACTGGTCTAGAAAACTTCCTGGTCTGCTTAATAAGTTTTAAACTGAAAGATGTCTTGTTTCCCCCCCGCACCCTCCACCACCACCACACACCCACACACATACCTGTCCACTTTTAATTATTTGCCTTTCTTAGATTTCACACATGGTCAGCTTTTATTCCCTTTGATTACGTGTGGGAGTATGCCTCTATGTGTCACTCTGGCCCATTGCCTGTTATTCTGATCCATGACTTCTACAGTTTACCCTCACTGATCTTTAACAAGATACCCAGGGAGGCTTGGCTCAGAGCCTCTGAACTGTCTGTTCCTGACTTTTAAATAAAACTCATTCAGTCTGACAGGCTGCACCAGGGGAGAGGATGCAGCACAAGAGCAGCTCGCACCAAACCAGCCTTTTGCAACAAACTAATGGACAGTTTTTCATAAGTCAGACTTGAAAAGGAAAAGATCTGCTTGTCAGAGGATTCTACCCACTTTGAAAACATCAATATGTTGAAGCAACCAGATTTAAAAGTCTATATAGTGACCCGTCTAAACATGAAATGTGTGCATTTATATTTATACTGTTGGTACAGAAAGTATTCAGATCCCTTTAAAATGTTCTCTATTTCATTGCAGCCATTTGCTGAAATCTATTAACTTAATTTTATTTATCCTTATTGATAAATAAAACTAAAACCAGAAACCAGGTGTGAAAACCTTGTTGCATCATTCCCAAGAATGAGCGGCACTAGCTCAAAAGGGTGCTTCTACTCAATAATGAGCAAATAAATCTGAAAAATGTTGCCTCAATTGTTGGTAAAGGCAGTTTTAGAAAGATCTAATTTGCTAAAGGAGAAAGTTTGTCCAAACCAAATTGTGCTTCTGCGAAAAAGTAATTAAACCCCTTCTGTTTAATTCGGCATTAATTCATTTCTAGAATTGTGAACCACAGCAGGGATCTTGAACAAGTCACAGTTCTTGTCTAAGATTTTAAAAACCTTAACAATAATTCATGTCAACCTCTGTGAAATATAATGACCGACCACACAACTTTAAGTTAATGAGTTGTTAATCAAAGCAGCATTTTCACTGTATTTTTTTCCCCTGACAGCATCAGAAAGCTGGATTTTTAGATTTTTTTAAAAGCACGATCAAAGGTCTGTGCATCCAATTCACACTCAGCCGGAGGTTTTCTCTAGAATATTTTTAATGAAGAAAGATTTTGGCTGTTGTAGCTGGCTGTTATAGTCACACCCAGACATGATTACTGCCAGAGCTGTTCAATAAAAACTGACAGCATCAGACTATATACATGTGGAGGACTCTTAAGCATCATATATATTAAAAGAAAACAGTTATGCAGCCTCAGCCCTTTTCAAGTTTTATTAACTCTGCACGGACCGGACAGACTTTTTACACATAAATACATTTTACAATACTAAAATAATGACAGCAAAGAAAAAGAACAAACTATGATTGGTAAGAGAAATGTAAATGTAAATAAAAAATGTTTTCGATGGGGAACATAATTGTTATGCTGCGTATGAAGCATTGCTTCCCTTTCTTATCACCCCCCACTGGTTCGTACCCTACTGCCCCCTGTGTTTTTGTAGAACACTACACCAGGGTCAGCATTAAGTATAAATACATGCAGGGCACCCTAAAGTACCACTATTACTTGGCATTAAAATGGCCCTAAAACAGAACAAATGAGAAAAAATATTGGCCCTTACTGGTGCAAAAAAAAGCTACAGAGCCATTCTAAAGGCTTTGTGAGTCAAACGACTCCTGATGACATTTGGTATAAAACTAAAACCTTTTACAGCAAAACAAAAAAACTGCAATTAAACTTGGGGTTGGTAGTGTGCCGTAATGGGTCTCTGTTATTCTGGGATGCTAATCACTTGTAATTAATGGAACCAAATGTGCTGCTGCTTTGTACCAGGAAATTTCCTGAATTAATCTTAACTGCCACTTTATCATCACTGTATGAAGAGACACACTTGGATTATTCTGCAGGATAATCATCAGAACAATCAAATCCGCCTCTGAATGGCTCAATAAAAACAAAAAGCAGGTATTGGACAGTGCATGTTTTGGGGTTTAAACTATTCTAATTGAGATGCTGTGCCAGGCCAAAAGCATTCAATATTCCTCCACTGTGTCTGAATCAACAAATCCATTAAGGCCTCTTCCACATGGAGGCCAGATGAGGTTTAACCACAGATATTTCATTGTTTACTCTGTGTGTCTAAACAGAGCTGGTGTCTGAATCAACAAATCCATTAAGGCCTCTTCCACATGGAGGCCAGATGAGGTTTAACCACAGATATTTCATTGTTTACTCTGTGTGTCTAAACAGAGCTGGTGTTTTGAGAGAGAAAAAAAAACTTTCTTTTAAAAAGTCAGAGACCGTTTGTTTCATGTTTCAGTGTGGACATGTGA